CGCGTGTGTGTGTGTTACATGGATGGGGGTGCGTGACCCCATACCTGTAAGACTACCCATACGAGCCGAGGGCCCAAGGGTAATACTACAACGCCTAAAAGCCACGGAGGAAAGGAAAACACCGCACATCAGCCCAGACTAGCGTCTAAAGGGGGTAATTGAGTTTCGGTGAGCCCACATACGTTCCAATATCCTCGCCAGACGTGCGGGTTCCCATTGCATGGCCTCCAACATGCTCTGTTGATGATCGAATCCCTCTTCAGCACGAATATCATTATAGGCTGGGCATTCCAATAACACGTGTTTTTCATCCTCGATTCGGCTATTAGTACCACAACAGCGGCAAAACCGCTGCCCCCTGGGGACATGGTACCTGCCTCTTCGTGCTCTGTTTGCCTCCAGAGCCCAGCAACATAAACGAAACAGCATTAGCTTGCGATGTGCTAAACGAGGAATGAAAACCTTAGCATGTGTTGGCCACATGACGGCTGCGGCTCCCGAAAAGGGCAGCTCCATCCATCCAGTGCTTATACTTCGCCATTTGCACTCCCGGTTGCTTCCCATCTGATGGGTACTCCTCTGGCAAGATAGTCAGACGCGTATGGTCCCAGCCGCTCATCAAACGCTCTCTTAGTGCCGTTATCATCGCTCCTTCGGGTAGAGGCCTACTCAACAACCAGTCAACACGCTCCTTTACCCCCATGACTTCTTGCGATATTCCGCCCCAAATATTGCACTCCAAGAAGGAAAGCAGTCCAAACCGCATTGTTTAGGACTGAACATGTGTTCATATTACTTGATAGGAGGGCCCCTCATTCCAAGGAGAAGGCTCCGTTTAGGGCCCAATGGGTGCTCTTCATGTGACGGACAGGGCTCGATTTATGAAAAACAGCTTCGTTTTGGATTGACGGGGCGCTCATATTACGTGGTGGATGGGCCTTGGTTTTGGACTGACGGGCGTTCAGACCGTAGGAAGAGCCACAGCGAGTCCGCCTCTATCTCCCGGCCTGGGCTGGTCCGGGGACCACAGCAGGAGCCTCGAAAGAAGGTAAACAGCGGGAGCATCAGTGCCGCACTCACCGCTGTTAACCCACGTCAGGTCTGACCGGAAAGACCGAGACGGGAAAACTCCTCAGCAACACGTTGTATTATAACTTATGTTCATTCTTTGGGTTCGCGGTTGCTGCTTTTTCGTTATACTGCGCGTTTTACCCTATTGTCTATTTGTGTTTGAACTCTGTTTTTTGGGCGAGGCCCCGGGCGCGAAGCGCCATTCGGGGGGCCGAGCCCCCCGGGTTCACTGCTGTCAGTCAGTCAGTCAGTCAGTCAGTCAGTGGCTTACATATCTCGCCCCGCAAAAAACAGCGTTTGAATGCTATCTCCATTCTATATCAAAATTCCAAAGGAGAAATTCCAGATAAATCGGAGCGCGAAGATAGCTTTCCTGCACCGGGGCCGAGCCCCTTTTCGGCTTTGAAAAGCCGGGCCCCTAGTTGGTCTCCGGCTCGCCGCCTTGGGTGATCGCTCGCAATAAATCGCTCGTTCACTTACTAGTTCGAAACAATGTAATTCCGGCAACGGCAGGGAAAGTCAGAAGCCTCGGGACAAGATGGCCGTCGAAATCGCCCGCCATCCATCCCAGCGAAGAAGTGTAGATTGCGCGCGGACAAATGCACTTCTTGCAAGTGAATATTCGCTCCACAGCACGGATCTATGAACCGATCCGCTATATACGACGTACGCATTCCAGTACAAACCAATCCGACAACACTCGGGTCATTGTTCGGTTCGTCGAACAGTCCGATGCACCGCTGGGCTGCTGCACCGCCGCCCGCATCTCACCCCACGGTGACAGGCGATGGCAGGTCCGTGACCCCCCCGTACATTAGCGTGATAGACTCATTTGCCATTTAACTGCTCGTCTTGTCTGTTCCTGACCACCTCCATCACTAGCTTGTGTATCGAGGTACGGCAGTAGTGGAGCTTCTTAATAAGCAAGCAAGGGATCTTCACTCCTCGGTTGTGCTGCTAACCACGTTCTCACATCCGAGATAGAAGGTAGGGTATGACAGAATTAGAGGCTGGCTGCCCTTCCAGAAGCCACATACAGGAATCCTAATTCCCGGCCTGAATCAGTGCACGACGGTGTGGATTCGTTTGTTCACGTGCGTTACCGGCGCTCCCATTCGCAGGGTAAGTTACGGCGGTAGGTAGGTAGGTTCGTACGGTTCGTACGGAGCTCCTCCTGATGTCGTACAGCCGCAGCCGGCTGAAACCGGCGGGTGGCGGCGGCCCCTTGCTGCTGCTGCTACTGCTGTCGTCCTCCCTCGCGCTCCTGGGCTCCTCCGCGGGTGAGTAGTCCGTCTCCGTCGGAACACCTCCCGCACCGTTCCAGTAGCGGGTCATGAACGGCTAGTGGGGGACTTCACCACCCGCCCTCCGCCGCTCCTGGTGGGGGCCGTACCGCCTCACGCAGGTGCTTCCGCCCAGCAGCTGCCCCTAGCACGCAAGTCGGGCTCGGAGGTGGAGCTGACACCTGTACCGGACCCTAATGACCCAAACATTAACAGCACCGGCGCCACCAGGGCTACGGAGATCGACATGAATGACGTCACAGTCCTGGATGGCGATGAGCTCAAGTGGGGCAAGGAGAATGAGAAAATGAAGAAGGAAAAGGAGAAAATAAAAGTTGTGGTCGTTAAAGAGGTACCCCCCCCGCCGCCCTACCCGCCGCCGCAGAAGATTCCCGTATCTCCAAAGCCGCCACCACCTCGCCCGCCCAGGCCGCCACCACCATAACACCCTCGTCCACTGCCACCGCAGCCCCCATCCCCACCACCGCCTTGACCACGGCCTTCACCACCACGGCCATCGCCACTGCCCCCTTCACCACCGCCGCGCCGGCCAAGGCCGCCCTCACCGCCACCCCCCTCGCCGCAGCCTCCGTCGCCGCCCCCACCATCCCCACCGCCGCCCTCGCCACCTCCGCCGTCGCCACCTCGCCCTCTGCCGCCGTCACCTTCGCCGCCATCGCCACGGCCCCCGTCTCCCCCTCCTCCACCGCCGCCTCTACCGCCTTCACCCCCACCACCTTCACCTCCCCCCCCCTCGCCACCGCCTCCTCGACCTCCCTCTCCTTCACCTCCCTCGCCGTCGCCGCCGCCACCGTCTCCACGTCCCCCCTCACCGAGGCCGCCATCCCCTTCACCTCCTTCCCCGCCATCGCCACGGCCGCCGGCGCCGCCATCCCCCCGGCCACCTCGTCCTCCGCCGCCTTCGCCGCCCCCTCCCTCTCCACCGCCTCCTGCACCCCCGCCTCCGTCGCCCCCACCTCCGTCACCACCACCGCCCTTTCCACCACCGCCTTCACCACAGCCACCATCAACTCCACCGCTCCCAGCACCGCCACCATCGCCCTCGCCGCCGCAACCATCGCCTCCGTCTGCACCGCCTAGCCCGCGGCTGCGCCCTTCGCCACCTCCGCCATCACCATTGCCTCCGTCACCCCCTCCACCATCTCCTCCCCCTCCGTCGCCACCTCCGCCATCACCGG